TCACGGAATAAGTATCGATATAGTCTGTAGCAGCGATAATTTTCATAGTTGAGATGATATTAATCTTGACCGCTAAGCTAATTTTTGTACTTTAGCTTATTACGTACATAAACAACATAGCCTTTATGTATGTAATAAGCTAAAGACATTTTACTTATTATTCATTCTTGATTATTATTTATTTTAAGATTTTAAAACTTATTATTTTAGAGAATACATGAAATCTATTTGAATAAATGGGATACTTATGTGAAAAAAGAATAAATACTCTGGAGCATACTTACTTATCATGTAACATATTCTATAGTTGTTTTGTTTCATAGAATGTGTACCGTCTTCTTCCACAGTAAATTATATTTGCATGATTTTTTTTTTATAATTTATATTAATTATAATGAATTAAGAGATATATAAAATTGTTCATCAAGGTATGTTTAAATAAATAATTTTAAAAGACAGACAAATATAAAATGAGACTCGAAAGAATCTATCAGCGAAAAATGTAAAAAAACTCATCAGAGCCTCATCAGCTGTTCGGATGCACAGAAAATTCTTTATTTTCGTGTAAATGTAACAAACGAATAAAATATACGTTCCGACTATTTAATTCGGGTCTTTATCAATATATTATAAAATATAAATCAGAATTACATTAATTTAAAAGACAGTTATTAGTTATGTAATTTCCTTTAACAAATTTAACCAAATTTAAAAAATATTGTGTGAAAAAATGCATAGTAGGTAAAGTATATAAAATTCAATAATTTTGATTTTACATATTTATTTTTTTTATAGAATTTATAATATATATAAGTCATATGGGTGTATATAATTTCGATACAAAAATGGCCTTGACATGTCCAATGTTGCATATAAATCACGATTTTATTGGTTTTTATTAAAGATAAACAATATTGATATGAATTACTAAATATCAATCTGCTTCCGGTTCTTTCTGGAGAGAGTTCTATTATAAATTATTACGATAATGATCTTTTTCTTTTCTGTCTTATTTTTGAATATTTTTATATAATTTTATGTAATTTTTCTTTAAATTTTTTCTAAATTTAATTTTTTCGAATATTTAAAGTATTTTATAATAAAAAAAAACTTCAACAATATAAAA